TGGGCTCAGGTGATCCATCCGCCTCGGCCTTCCAAAGTGCTTGGGATTACAGGTATGAACCACCGTGCCTGGCCTAAAATTTATTTTAAAAGGCTGGGTGCTGGCCGGGCACGGTGGCTCAAGCCTGTAATCCCAGCACTTTGGCAGGCCGAGATGGGTGGATCATGAGGTCAAGAGATCAAGACCATCCTGGCTAACACGGTGAAACCCCGTCTCTACTAAAAAATACAAAAAACTAGCCAGGTGAGGTGGCGGGCGCCTGTAGTCCCAGCTAATGTAGTCCCAGCTACTCGGGAGGCTGAGGCAGGAGAATGGCGTAAACCTGGGAGGTGGGGCTTGCAGTGAGCTGAGATCCGGCCACTGCACTCCAGCCTGGGCGACAGAGCGAGATTCCGTCTCAAAAAAAAAAAAAAAAAAAAAAGGCTGGGAGCAGTGGCTCATGCTGGGAGGCCGAGGCAGGCAGATTACCTGAGGCCAGGAGTTCAAGACCCGCCTGGCCAACATGGGGAAACCTCGTTTCTACTAAAATACAAAAATTAGGCTAAAGCATGAGAATCGTTTGAACTCAAGACGTGGAGGTTGAAGTGAACCAAGATTGTGCCACTGCACTCTAGCCTGCGTGACAAGGAAAGACTGTCTCAAAAAAATTTATTAAAAAAGAAAGCACGGGAACATAGCATGATTGCTGGTATCAAGAGCCTACTAGAAGTTAATAATCATGAACTGAAAGTAAGATCAGTCAATAAGGCTATCTATTTTCCTCCAACCAGGTTCAGCTATTATTGGTACAGGCACAAAGTGGAGAACTGAACTTAACCAAAGTTAGTTTAGCAAAGCAAATAAAAAGGGAAAAGTAAGGCTAGGTATGGTGGCTCATACTTGTAAAACAAGCATATTGGAAGGCCAGGCTAAGCGGATTGCTTGAGCTCAGGAATTCAAGACCAACCTACGCAACATGGCCAAACCCTGTCTCTACTAAAAATACAAAAATTAGCCAGGCATGGTAGTGTGCACCTGTGGTCCCAGCTACTCAGAAGGCTGAGGCAGGAGGATCACTGGAGCCTGGGAAGTTGAGGCTGCAATGAGCTGTGATCATGCCACTGCACTCTAGCATGGGTACAGAGTGAGATCCTGTTTCAAAATAAATAAACAAACAAATAAATAAATAATAAAAACTTAAAGGGAAAAGCAAATTGAGGGTATGTGCCAGGGAGTGATTATAATCACTGACTCAGGAATTTAAGGTTAGTAAGGAAGAAGTGAGGAATAGTAAAAAGACTGCAGAATCAACAAGTTATCCAGGTTTGAGTAGGACAGCAAAGGAGCTGAGAAGACAGCAGGCAGTGGTTGCAGAATGGGACCACTCACTGAAATGATAAAGAGTTGCAATGCTTGTCATAGCAGAGTATGACCACTGGGAGTGAGTGGCTGAAGTAGGGTGGACAACTGGAGGACAAGATTCTTGGAGGAGAGGAGGTCAAAGAACGGAAGGCCAGACATTGGAAGAATCATCTATATGTGGAAATAAGTAGGAACAACCTGGGGATTGTTAGATGACTAAAACAAGGAGGAGCAGTGGCTGGTAAAATATAATAATGTTGTTTTATTTTAATTTTTTTTTTAGATAGAATTTCACTCTGTCACCCAGGCGGGAGTATAGTGGAACGATCACAGCTCACTGCAGCATTGACCTTCCAGGCTCAAGCAATCTTCTTAACTCAGCCCCCTGAATAGCTAGGACTACATGTGTGCACCATCATGCCCAGCTAATTTTTTCAATTTTTTGAGAGATAGGGTCTTACTGTGTTGCCCGGCTGGTCTCAAACTTCTAGGCTCAAGCAATCCTCACACCTCAGCCTCCCAAAGTGCTGGGATTACAGGTGTGAGCCACCATGGCCAGCCATAATGCAAAGTTTTAAACTGAAGGTTTCAGGGAGAAGGGAGAGAGAATGATCTGGAAGCAGCCAAGAGAATCAACAGACATTCACCCATTTCCCGTCAGTGTTACAAGAAAAGGTAGAAGAGGAAAGAGCCATTGTTTGAGAAGCCTACAGGGCAAGCCAAGCTTCAGCTACGGCTGGAAAGTGAAAGCTGCACTGAGAGAACAGGGTGAGAATTTGGGGATTTAGCTGAAGACTAACCAAGAGTTCCAGAGGGTAAAAGAAAGAATCCTTAGAGATAGCAAGGGTAAGTACTTAGGATCCATGCTACCTATGGGCATATGCTCACCTCAACTACTGCAAGTTACTAAACCTCTGCTTTGTTTCCAGTTCCCTCGTCTGTAAATTGGGGATAATCATGGTATGGACCTCACTGAAAGTGTTTTTTTGAAGATTATATTCAACAATATAAGGCAGGTATTTAGAAAGTCCTTAAAACTGCACCTAGCACACAGTCTGCACTTAAAAAATGTAATGTAGGCCGGGCACGGTGGCTCATGCCTGTAATCCCAGCACTTTGGGAGGCCGAGGCGGGCGGATCACAAGGTCAGGAGATGGAGACCATCCTGGCTAACACGGTGAAACCCCGTCTCTACTAAAAATACAAAAAAAAAAACTAGCCGGGTGTGGTGGCGGGCGCCTGTAGTCCCAGCTACTCAGGAGGCTGAGGCAGGAGAATGGCATGATCCCGGGAGGCGGAGCTTGCAGTGAGCCGAGATCGCGCCACTGCACTCCAGCCAGGGGGACAGAGTGAGACTCCATCTCAAAAAAAAAAAAAAAATGTAATGTATTATTAGAGGATACTTCACGTATGATTACAGGATTCCTGTATCATCCTACTGAATTATTTGAAAAATCTTTTATTTTCATTTAACATTTCAATCTTAAATCCTAAGATTACAAAATCTGAGGAGGAGGGATAATACCATGTACTTGTCTGAGTCTTCCACAAGGTTCAAGATTTGAACAATACTGGCAGAGGGCCAAGCAGCAATTCACAAACTAACACCAACTGTGACGTAGGGAGGAGGTATCACTATACTCTCCATCTCCCAGACCTATCCTACAGATGTCAAGGGATTTAACTAATCTTTCAGAGGGAAAAAAGGTGCAGGGCAGAAATGAACAAAAATGGAAGATAATAGTTTACGGGTATCAAACTAACCTTAACACCTACTCTCAGGATATTGATTCTCTGACCATAACATATTCTTCAACCTCCTTTCTTTTTTTTTTTTTTTTTTTTTTGAGACGGAGTCTCGCTCTGTCGCCCAGGCTGGAGTGCAGTGGCCAGATCTCAGCTCACTACAAGCTCCGCCTCCCAGGTTTACGCCATTCTCCTGCCCTCAGCCTCCCGAGTAGCGGGGACTACAGGCGCCCGCCACCTCACCCGGCTAGTTTTTTGTATTTTTTAGTAGAGACGGGGTTTCACCGTGTTAGCCAGGATGGTCTCGATCTCCTGACCTTGTGATTCGCCCGTCTCGGCCTCCCAAAGTGCTGGGATTACAGGCTTGAGCCACCGCGCCCGGCCTCAACCTCCTTTCAACAGATTTTTGTGTAGAATGATAACAAAAGCTTTCTGAAAACATAAATGAGCTGATTTTCTCAAAGACAAAGATTAAGGGATAGAAAAGCAATTCCTAGCACTATAATAGGTCAGATGACGCAATTTTAAATCAAGAAACCTTCCTAAAACAAGGAAATATGAAAGAACAATGTGATACATACCACTTGCCTAGCAGTTTTGAAACATATTAACATTCCACTGTACTACCAAATAAATTCCACATTTATCAAAAAGTCAAACACTTTAAGAAAAACTTTCATAAAATATATTTACCAGTTTTATGAAAAAAAGGGGAGCCTTCTCAGAAACAATCATTTAAAAAAAAAATGATGTGCATATGCAATAAATATTTACTGAGTGCCTATGTGTCCAGCAGTGTTTGAGGTAACAGTCATATATTAACATCTCTAACTCAATTAAAAAAATAGCATAACCACCTAAGGAAATTTTGCATTAAAAATTTCAAAAGGTCAAAAACCTGGATAGAAAGTTTACCCAAACTTACTTTTAAACTAGTATGGACTATACCAGAAAAAAGGGCAAAATATTACCAACCTAGTACCACATAAGAAAATACAAACAGATTTCCCATATTTGGAAAGCGTTTCTTTTTCTTTTCTTTTTTTTTTTTTTTTGAGACGGAGTCTCGCTCTGTTGCCCAGGCTGGAGTGCAGTGGCGTGATCCTGGCTCACTGAAACCTCCGCCTCCCGGGTTCAAGTGATTCTCCTGCCTCAGCCTCCCAAGTAGCTGTGACTACAGGGACGCACTACTGCACCTGGCTAATTCTTTTGTATTTTTAGTAGACACGGGTTTCACCATGTTAGCCTGACTGGTCTCGAGCTCCTGACCTCGTGATCTGCCCGCCAAGACCTCCCAAAGTGCTGGGATAACAGGTGTGAGCCACTGCGCCTGACCAGCATTCATTTTTTTTTTAACAACCAAAAGAAATGCCATATAAAATGATGTGAAGTACTATTTTACATCTAAATTCCATGTTATTGAGATATTAGTGGAAAAGAGGCATGTACAGGGTACCTTTCTCCCAACAGCCTAATCTGTGAACTGTCTCTGGAAAATAAGACAGAAAAAGCCAAGGCAATGCTCAGTCTGACCAGAGAATGCCACTTCCAGCACCCAAACTGAGGAAATAATTCAAGTGGCTCAAAAAGGTATATGTAAGATTTAATGGCGGCATAAGCCAGAACACCAGAAACAGGAATACAAAAAATCATTTTCTGAAGCTGTAATTATAAATATGAAAAAATAGTAATGACATAAATGCAAAGAGACAAACTGTACCAATTATAGCAATATAAAATATGTACATACATACTCAGAACTTAAAAACAGAATAAAGAAACTATAGATGATTTTACTTTTAGATAATATTCTGTAATGGGAGCTTATCTTTTTATTCAACATGTCTGTTTTTTCAATATATTCCTATCTTAAAACAGCATTTTAGTAGTATGTTATGAAATAGAACACATACCTGATACTCGTCTATTAAATCTGCTAGGAATTGGAACTGCAAAATAAAGAAGCAACATTTAGTCATTATTATGTCACCAGGCCCCATTTTTATCCTCCCTTTTTGCAAGTCTTTTACAATAGACCTAAGTCCCTCAAAACCAAGCAGTGGGCGATTTCATAGTCTTCCAAACTCAATCACAAATAGTTGTTCAATGTGATCATATTAAGACAATATAGGAAATACAGTATTTCTTTGAAAACAAACTCTTTATACCTTCAATATACTCAACCTGGCAATTTTATTTCTGCTCACATCTACGTTCCATCTAATTTGTATCATTCCAATTGAATAAGAAGTCTACCAAATTTATTGATAATGTTATGATACAAAATAGTGAAATTTTCTTTTTTTTTTTTTTTTTTTTTGAGATGGAGTCTCACTCTGTCACCTGGGCTGGAGTGCAGTGGCAGTATCTTGGCTCACTGCAAGCTCCACCTCCCAGATTGATGCCGTTCTATGGCCTCAGCCTCCCGCAGAGCTGGGACTACAGGTGCCCGCCACCAGGCCCAGCTATTTTTTTTTGTATTTTTTTAGTAGAGATGGGGTTTCACTGTGTTAGCCAGGATGGTCTCCATCTCCTGACCTCGTGATCCAGCCATCACGGCCTCCCAAAGTGCTGGGATTACAGGCGTGAGCCACTGCACCTGGCCCGAAATTTTCTTCTTTAATATCCTTTAGGCCAAGTGAGATGTTTCACACCTGTCATCCCAGTGCTTTGGGAGGCCAAGGTGAGCAGATCACTTAAGGTCAGGAGTTCAAGATCAGCCTGGCCAACATGGTGAAACCCCATCTCTATTAAAAATACAAAAAAACCCAGCCAGGCATGGTGGCACATGCCTGTAATCCCAGCTACTCAGAAGGCTGAGGCATGAGAATCACTTGAACCCAGGAGGCAGAGACTGCAGTGAGCTGAGATCCTGCCACCGCACTCCAGCCTTGGTGACGGAGGGAGACTCTGTCTCAATAAAAAAATAAAGTAATAAATAAATAAAGTAATAAAGTTCTTTAAAGAGAATCCTCAGACCTGCTAGATAATAGCAATTATACTGCATTTTAAAATAACTTAGGCCAGGCGTGGTGGCTCATGTCTGTAATTCTAGCACTTTGGGAGGCCAAGGCAGGTGGAACACCCAAGGTCAGGAGTTCAAGACGAGCCTGGCCAACATGGTGAAACCCAGTCTCTACTAAAAATACAAAAATTAGCCGGTGTGATGGTGCATGCCTGTAATCCCAGCTACTTGGGAGGCTGAGTCAGGAGAATTGCTTGAACCCAGGTGACGGAGGTTGCAGTGAGCCAAGATTGCACCACTGCACTCCAACCTGGGTGACAGAATGAGACTCCATCTAAAAATAAAAATAAAAATAAAAATAAACATAGGCCAGGCATGGTGGTTCACGCCTGTAATCCCAGCACTTTGGGAGGCCGAGGCAGACAGATCACGAGGTCAGGAGATCGAGACCATCCTGGCTAACATGGTGAAACCTCATCTCTACTAAAAATACAAAAAATTAGATGGGCGTGGTGGTGGGTGCCTGTAGTCCAGCTACTCAGGAGGCTGAGGCAGAATGGCGTGAACCCAGGAGATGGAGATTGCAGTGAGCCAAGATCGCATCACTGCACTCCAGCCTGGGCAATAGAGCAAGACTCTATCTCAAAATAAAGTAAAATAAAATAAAATAAAAATAAAAATAAAATTAAAAGTAAATTAACTATTAAGTTATACTTCCCCCTGCCAATATGGGTGAGTTTTCACCTGCCCATGGACAGTACATTAATCAGGAAAACGTACCACATGTCTTTATGTCAAAAAAAAAAACCCAAAAACTTTTTTTTTTTTTGATCTTTCACTTATCATTTGTTACCTAAATTCTCACTAGTAAACCATATTATCTGCATAAGGTTTTTTCCTAACCTTCAAAGCTTAATCTGATTATTATTATTATTTTTTTTTTTGAGACAGAATCTCGCTGTGTCGCCCAGGCTAAGGTGCAGTGGCACAATCTTGGCTCACTGCAACCTCCATCTCCAGGTTCAAGCAATTCTCCTGTTTCAGCCTCCTGAGTAGCTGGGATTACAGGCGCCCACAACCATGCCCGGCTAATTTTAGTATTTTTAGTAAAGATGGGGTTTCTCTATTTTGGCCAGGCTGGTCTCGAACTCCTGACCTCAAGTGATCCACCCGCCTCAGGCTCCCAAAGTGCTGGGATCATGGGCATGAGCCATCACATCCGGCCAAGATTATTTTTATTTTTTAAAAAACATGTTAAGACTTCCTGCCCTTTAAGAAAGAGAAATACGAGTATTAGGTAAAAACAAACTGAAAATGGCTCAGGGAGACAAATAAAATTAATGTAAGGCCTCTGTAACAAAAATAGTCCCAGGAAGGAGGCAAATGCTCATTTATCATATGACTAGAATTATCTAGAACCAGTAGCCAATAATTTCCTTTGATCATTTGAAACACATGTGCCTGGACGGGCCTTGTGCCTCACGCGTGTAATGCCAGCATTTTGGGAGGCTGAGGCAGGAGGATCACTTGAGCCCAGGAGTTTCAGACCAGCCCGGGCAATACAACGAAATCCCATCTCTACCACAAACAAACAAACAAACAAACAAAAAATTAGCTGGGAATTGTGCCATGGGCCTGTAGTTCCAGTTATTCAGGGGGCTAAGGTGAGAGGATCTCCTAAGCCCAGGGAGGCAGAGGCTGCAGTGAGCCGTGATCACACAACCACACTCCAGCCTGTCACTCAGGTAGACAGATCATATACCACTTTAGGTCCTCAACCCAGATCTTGTGAGATTTCTATAATTAAAGCCCCAGTGAACATGACTACACTACCTAAAATTATAAAACACACAATGAGGCCGGGCGCGGTGGCTCAAGCCTGTAATCCCAGCACTTTGGGAGGCCGAGACGGGCGGATCACGAGGTCAGGAGATCGAGACCATCCTGGCTAACACGGTGAAACCCCGTCTCTACTAAAAACACAAAAAACTAGCCGGGCGAGGTGGCGGGCGCCTGTAGTCCCCGCTACTCGGGAGGCTGAGGCAGGAGAATGGCGTAAACCCGGGAGGCGGAGCTTGCAGTGAGCTGAGATCCGGCCACTGCACTCCAGCCCGGGCGACAGAGCAAGACTCCGTCTCAAAAAAAAAAAAAAAAAAAAAA